ATAAATGATGCGTTCTTTATCGTAGTGAGTCATACCATGAAATGAATTTCTCAAAACTTATTCAGCATATAATGCTAAATGATTTGACAGATGCCCTAAGCGAAGTAAATAAATTGGCACATTTAAATTGTACAATTCCATTTTCAACTGCTTAGGTGGAGAGATCATTTTCAGCACTGAAAAGAGTAAAAAATTATGCACGCAATACAATGGGCCAGGATCTAAAGTTATCTCTAATAACAATAGAAAAAGAAATGTTACACTTATTGAAGTCAAAACCAGAGTTTTATGATCATGTAATTGATGATTTTTGTAGTAATGTGGATAGACTATGATTTTGTGTACAAATGAATAATAAAGTTAAAGAAGTGTTTAATGTACATTTTTATGGTTTTATTATTATTGTTGTTGTTCTCTGCACACCCTGCATGAAAACCTACCGCACACCACTGGATGTAAGTCATCTTGGTTGGCGATCTGGGTGTCCGGTGTTGGCTAAATGAAGAGGGGTGTGCATGTGTGGTGAACCTTATTTTGGTTATTCAGGGAAGAAATGCAAATTTAGTCCCAAATAGGGGGCGATAAATGAAGCCACTATGGGAGCCCATGTTTCTGAAGGAGATGAAGAAAATTTGAGTTTGAATCACTTTTTGACTGACACTCAGATTTTAAACTTGTTCTTGTTGTGAAGTGAGAAAAAGGATGTAGACGTCTTCGAGCAGTGCTTCTGGCAGGAAGCGGCAATTATGCTGCCCGGCCGCGTGTTTCAGCTAAGAATTTTGAGAAGACGATATTGAGTGGCGATAGACTAAACTGTTGAGCGAATAATAAAAAATTAACAGAGACTTTGGTCTTCATCTAGATCTGCTAAAGCCAAGACATTGTCCTCTGAACTTCAACTTGAAACCGAAGGAAGGAATTCTGTTACCGTAGACTAATGAAAACTGCAAAATACCTAGCTTAATAGTCTACGCTTTGCCTTGTTGAGCGTAGATTCTATTCCGACAGCCGTGCGGCGCAAGCTCTTCTCTTGCCTTCCAGTGGGAAAAATTTTCACTATGGAAACCAGTTGCAGGCGTTCTCCATTGTTGAGATAGCTGAATCGAAAATGTAAGGATGCGGGAGAATCGTGTTTCGAACTTCGGCGGGATTTCCGAAAAAAGGGTGAATTAAATCAATCTTCAGTACCTCTTTTCCGGACGATAAGGTTTACCAGGAGAATGCAAGGTCTCACCCAGTCATTTCAAGGCCTCTTCAAGCTGCTTACATAACAGATAAGGTTTTTGTGTGTGTGTGTGTTATCAATTTTTCCTATGAACTTTAAAGAAATTCCAGAACTTTATTTGGGACTGTATACTTCGTATTGAATCTCCAATTCAATTCTAAATGCCTGAAAAATTCTCCCCTTCCGATTTTTTTTTTTTTCTTTACAGAGACTAAAATGGAAAATCTTAATAAGTTAATTATGGTATAAAATATAGTTTGTTTTTGTGAAATTATCCTTAGCATAGATGTTGAATTTCAGAGGTGTACCTGCAGAGAGTAAAAATGTATTCTTTTGACGACCATCCTAGGATTTACTGCAGTAGTTCTGGTTAAAGTTAAATTAAATGGGTCATAAAGGGAATTCTGAGACTAAATTCATTAATTGAAAGAAAAATGTAATTTGTAAATCCTTAATTTAAATGTGTAAATAATATAAATTGATTAGTTCACATGTGTAACTGAAATAAGGAATTGAGTATTGATTACCTAGTATGTGAAATTTAATTTAAAATTTTTAGGAATCTGAACAAACTTGTATTTTTGATCTGGAAGCCTATTATTATGTTTTTCTTTATATCTATTTATGTGTTTCCTTATGTATATATTGTATTTACCTCTTGTTTATCCGATCCTCTCACGGCACGGTCCTGGACGCATAAAACACAACGCAATTATAATTTTACTTGAATGATCACTAAAAATGTTGAAATTAACTAGCCATAAGAGTTTTATTTTCAGTTTGGTATTTAGTTAGTTACGGTTTCACCTGTCTGTTTCTGTGTCGGTATTTTCTTTTAGATACCGATATAGAAATAGAACATTTTCATCATGCTCCCTCCAATCAAATTAGTATCTGTGTCAGTGTTGATATCATTATCTGGCTATTATAATTAAATAGCAAGATAATGATATCAACACTTACAAAATTTAAAATTAAATTAATTTTTTAATTTTGTCTAATTAAAAAACAAAGCCAATAATTTCATAATCGGTCATCTGATACACTAGAATACAAAAATAATAATTCCAAAACAATCCAAGACAATAAAAGTTTGAAATACTTTCATGATCAGAGCTATCACATGAGCACAGTAGACTTTGATATATTCAAAATTTATGTATACTAAAATTCGAGCAACACATAAATTATACAACACTTTTAATTAAAGTAATGTATCCATGATTAAACACAATTTTAAAACAAAACTTACCAAAAATGTCCTTTTAGGGTTTAATCTCCTCTGAAAATGTTCAAATGCATACTTCTTGGTACAAACAGGATATCTAAGAAAATGAGCAAAAACAATTTTAATTAAAATTAAAAACATAAAACCTCAAGTACATACTATTTCATCTTTTCTCCATTCAATGGAAATATAGCAGGATTTTAAAAGCTATGTAAAACAATACACTGTTTGCTAAATTTCCCATAAAATCTTATTCATTTTAACACACACTGCAAACACAAAATGCAGGTCATAGTAATGCAATATGTAATCAAATGATATCAATTAACAAGCAATGAACCACTCAAATTACTTTACCTACCAATTATTTTTTATTATACATTTTCTGTTTTTACAAAGGAATTCAACAATATTTTCCCCAACAATAATGGCAGCATACCAAATAAATTAAGATAAGCAATTGCAAAATATTCTTAAATATATTCTTCATAAAGATTTATGAAGAAATTAATAGTCTATACCTTAAGCCACAGAATCTATTAAACCAATTATATAAAGAAAGATTCCCTAACAATTTGCCCATTACAAAGCAGTTAAAAATAATACAAGAATTGCCAGTTTAGCAACTGCAGAACAGTTAAAAAAGGCACACTTAATAAAGTGAAGTTGAAAAAGTATATCAGTAATGTTAATTAAACTCAGCAGTAGCACATTTTTTACACTGTCTTCTTCGTGATTGAACTATAAAACATATGGTGAAAGGAATTAAATCCTAGTAGCATAAATGCTTTTATTCAATCATGAATTTTTTTGTCATTTGATGCATATTATTTTATTGCTTTTTTTTTTTTTTTTTTTTTTTCCCCTTAGTTTAAATGTAGTTTCAACATGTCAATCTAGAATATTTTACCTTCTTATTTCCTTTAATGATCTAAATATTACCTTAGTAGTGAAAGTTTATGAAAACAGAAACTAAAATAGTTATTTATACAAATTTAAGCAAACAACAAAAAAATTTTTTAAATGAAGTTTCCAAAAAAAAAAAAAAAAAAAAAAAAAAAAAAAAAAAAAAGCAGATCCAAAAGCTGTCCCACTCAAAGAGATAGGAAAGGTGAAACTTCAAAAGAACTTTTAAGAGAAAGGGTATAGGTTATTATTTATCTTCAAGTTTTACCCCACTTGGTAAATTTTCTATAAAAGCTTAGAGAGTTTTCATAATTTGTTCATTTTCATTTTAAGTAAATACTTAACATTAATTAAACATGTTAGAATTATTTTAAAAGAAATGTCAGTCTAAGAATTTAATATTTAGCTGCCAGTATATTGAATTACAAAATGTAAGTATAAAAAATGTTTTACAAATATCAAACTTTAGAAATGAAATAAATATGAATTTGAATCATTTATAATTATATCATTGTTTATGTATGTTTTGATGTATATTTAGTCAGCAAATTTTAAAATTTATTTAAAATATTTATTCTGTTAATACATTTTTTCACTTTTTAAAAAAGGAAAAAAAAAATCTAGACCACTAGTTGTTTTCATATTATGGGTGCAGTTAGAGACCACTGATTTACAGGACCATGACTTCAGCCTGATGGAAATTATGTGTAAACTGTAGTACAAGCAGCAACTTTTAGTGCTTGAAAATTAAATATTAATGCATAAAGGAGTTACTATAGGACTATAAAAATAAGCTCAAGAAGAAAGAATAGCAACAGCTTTAGAAGCAGCAATTTAAGGCCATTGTGAAAGAAATGTCTTCCAGAGAAGGGGAAGCCTAATTTCTCAGCTTGTAAAGCTTTAGCAAAAGAAGATAAAATGTCAAGTTTACATTAGTTTGATAAAGCAATATCAAGCTCCAGAATGTGTATTTTCAATTACAAGCCATGTCTCACTATAAAAATCTTTTAAAATATAGACAAAAATTCCCATGAAACAAATGAGTAAAACAGAGACCCAGTAAGTCTCAAGAAGAGCGGCACTAAGAAAGAAAGAAAAGATAAAAGAAGATGTCCTAAGAAAAAGTAGTCAGTTACCCAATAATTATATGTAGAGAGACTCCTCATATAAATATTAATATAACATGCATTTCCTTTCTCTACTTCATCAGTTACCCCTTCTCTACTCCATCACTTACCATTTACTCCTCTTTCTACAGGTATATTAAAATTAAATTTTTATCTGTCTAATACTGTATTTATCTTTCTTGTCATAGATTTAATGATTTCTACTGCCTTTGCATTATAAGCCGGTAGACAAAGAACAGCTGCAAAATTAAGATAAGTAATGACCTATAGATTAATCCATTCTATATGAATTTCACACAAACATTTTTTTGGTTTATAAATTTTTATGGAAAAAGAATTAATTTCATGAATTGCAGTTTCACTGCATCTTCTTAGGTATTCAATAAACTTTTTGCACTAAACTAATTCTTAACATTATAAAAACTCAACACTAAGATATCAAATTTCTTCAATGAATTTAATTTTACAATCAGTTTTCCTACTGTGCTGAATTACTTACTTTATTTTTGATATTTTGTTGAAGAAATGAGCTGTTTTATCAACACGATACTCGCAGATGTATACATCATCTTCTTTGTACCCTTTGGGACGTCCTTTACAATATGTAGGTAGGTCTAATACACAACACTGGCCAACAATTAAGTCAAATGAAATAATTTCATACAATAGGTACTCTGAAAACCTAGATTTAAAAAAAAAAAAAAAAAATCATATCAAATCAACACTTTCCCTCCCAATATACTAATACACTCGAAACTAATATTATACTGTTTGATATATATATTAAAGTGAAACATCATTCAAATGCTTTTTTTTTTTTTTTTTAAATCTTTTACATTTATCTGCTATTTTACCTCAGTCCCGATTCATTCCTGTCCATATTTCATACAAGCAATGTCCGAGAATAATTTCTCTTAATTAGAAAGCATATATTACAATTTCATAAGCTATTACATACAATAACCATTTATTATTAGCTCTCAGCAAGTTATTTTCTAGTAGCAAATGAATACTTCTAAAAAGTATAAAAACTTTTTTTTAAAATTGTTCTGTTAAAGCAGTAATGAGCAATTTATCATATTGCGCTTTTATTTAAAAAATTTCTAAGCATCTTATAAATAATAAAAGTACTTTTAATAAATGGAAATGAAAAATATTTTGCATAGCTAAAGTAAAAAAGAACCTTTTTTTTTTTTTTTTTTTTTTTTTATCATTATAAAAACTATGTGTAAATGAGTAATACTTACCTCATTGGCAAAAAACTTCCTAGATGGTTCATGGTATGTTTCATGGGGACGTAAATAATGGTGGCCAAAAGCAAATTTGTTATTCCTATAAAAGAAAGAGTTTTGTATAACATCGACATAAAGGGAGGAAAATGTTGATAATAGGTTTGACAGAAAAATTTTTAAAGTCTCTATGACATCTCAATTTTCATATAAAAAGTGGATATTTTTTCATTATATATTTCAAATCTACATGAATTTCAGAATCAAAATACAGAGTGTTCAAAAAGAATACACATATTTTGAATGCATATATTTATTAAAATGTACGACATACGAATATGAAACTTTACACACATATGTGCGAACCTCTCAAGTTCAGATTACAGATGTTTAATATGTCCCCCAATCAGCAACATGAACAATACTCAAATTCCTCCCATATTTGGGCAAGCATGTCCAACGTAACTGATGCTAGGATGGATCCAGTTCTTCACCTCTTCCAGGTTCTGTGGGAGTGGTGGTACATAAACATTGTCTTTAATGAAACCTCACAGGAAGAAGTCACAGGGTATCAAATCCGGTGACCGTGGAGGCCAGCTGAGACATGTCAAGTCTCCAGCTCCTTGAAGACCAATCCAACGGTTCAATAGAGTTTCATTCAGATAATCACGCACTTGGCGACAACAGTGAGGACATCAGTGAGTGCCCCATTTTGTTGAAAAATGAAGTTGTCTGTCTTCGTGCAGCCTCGGAAACAACCAGTTTTGTAACATAGTGAGATACTGCTGATTGTTAACAACGTTTCCATCAAAGAAGAATGGGCTGTAAACAGATGATCATGATGTCACACAAAACACATTGATTTTGGGTGAATCTCGTACATGTTCAATGGCTGCATGTGGCCCCAAATTCGAACATTGTGTTTGTTTATATGACCATTAACATGAAAAGTCGCTTCATCACTGAACACGATGCGTTGTGCAAAAGTGTTATAATTGTCAATAGCATCAATAATCTCATAACAAAATTCCATATGTTTGCGTTTGTCATCAGGAAGTAGAGTCTGTAACAAATGTAACTTGTATGGCTTCATAACCAACCGACATCTCAAAACACGCCATATTGTTGTCGTAGGCAGTTCTAACTCCCAACTGGCACAACAAGTTGATTTTGAAGGACTTCGTTGGAAAGCAGTTTGAATTGTGCAACATTTTTGTCGGGAACATGACGGTGGCCAGAACTCTTTCCTTTACATACACATCCTGTATTTACAAACTGTCGATACCATCTGCAAATGTTCTATCCATTCAGATGATCACTTTGGTACCTCAACTTGAAACGTCTTTGCACTTCCCAAACTCGAGAACACAAAATGATTTCTGCTGTGGAGTAGCCATTTTAAACATGTGATGGTTACCACGCAAAACAGAAAACAACTAACATCTAGCAACTATTAATATAAACTAGACTATGTATTCGTTTCGGAAATAGCCGAGCCGAGGCTCACTGATCAATAGTTTGGACAAAATAACAATTTGTAATACGTATATTCTTTTTGAAACACAGTGTATGCAGTACATTTTTGTAACCAAGACATTTTGATGCAGATATCATGCATAAGAACATACTTCCATAAAAATTAATTTTAAGAATAATCATATAAAGACAAAATTTCTGAAAATAAATCCTGACTAAATTATGATTTTATAAAATACAAATTTAAGGTATGTATATTAATGAAAATATTCAATATTTAAACAAATCACACTAGAAATTTAGTGCAGTAAATTTCAAAAGATGTTTCTAGGCAAAGCACTACTTCATATTCTTTCCACCAAAGTTGTTTTACTCACGAATTTTTTTTGCCAGTTCCAGATTCTTTTTAAGCAACAAAGAGCACACTATCTGTAAAGCATTTTTTTAACGAGATTACAGGTATGTGGCTTGCAAAATGATCTGTCAATCTCAAAAGTTTGAGAATAAAACTGGCTCTTCCATGTACACCACATGTTCCAAAAGTCATAATAATAGAAAATAGTTCAATTATGCATCATATTCATGGTTATTCCTCGATTTCAAACTAAGGGAAATGAAGTAGGAGCTGACTGAATATTTTTTATATCTATTTTACACTATTGCTGAATATTTTGGATAGTTATTGAATCATTTTCAGATTTGTCACTATCTGGAGATGAGTGCTAGAAATAATCTGTTTCACTATTGCTATCTTCTAACTACAATCATTTCCAGTATCAGAAAATATCATAAAAAGCATACATTCTATTTCTCACTGAATGCTTCATGCAGCTATATTATGAAAATGATAATAGCAGTAGCATTCTGCAAAATAGTTAAAGAACTCAAGGCAAATACAAAAATTTAGGTGCCAAAATATGACTGAAAGTAGAAAATGCATTATCAACCAAAAAAATATAAAAAAAGGGGAGGAGGGGAATAAAGCGTAAACTTTTAATAGAAAGAAACTCTGCATACCAGCAAAAATCGCAGGATGAGCAAATTTTGTTAATTTCATGCTGCTCATTAAAATAGCAGGATAGAGGGTTAGGATTAAATACAACCACAAAGCATTTACTTGTAACCATAGCATAGTTGACAAGTTGGCAATGAGAAATAAAGGTAAATGTCACCACTAAATAGTTTCCCGTTCTTAATTTTTTAAAGTTTGTTTTACAGTCTTTACGTAAGTTTCTCACTTTTATTTTCATTTTTGACAGAATATAATCAGTGGAAAAGAAAAACACTATAACCTCTACATCGTCAAGTTGGTTCAATCACCAAGATTCAAATTTTTGTGCTTTCATGTCTCAAAGAGAAAGATGTCAAAATATAGATTGCCATCACATCACCTTAATCACTACAAAAAAGTTTCAATGAAGACGCCACAGCTTTGTGATCAGAAATAAAATCAAAAATACTTAAGCCATGATTTACGACATAAACTCTTTCTCCCATGCTACAGCTCTTACTACTCTCAAAAAAGAGGCCTCATTGCTGACAATTTATTGAACATGAAAGCACTCAAGGGTTACTTTCATTTCAGAGCATGGATTCCTTTGTGAAGGACTCTTTGAATACAGATGGCTCATATCATTGTCAAATAAAATGAAAACTGTAAAAACTCCATGCAGCCTCGTAGACCTTATCGGTACCAAATACAAGATGAAATATGATACGCATGGTTTTAGTTACCAGCCTCAAACAGGAATTGCATGGGGAAGGAATGCATAATCTGAAAGCAGTTCACGGGCAAGAATTGAACAAAGAAAATGAAAAAAATTAACTAAATTAAAAATATTTTTTACTACACAGTTGTCAAAGCACACATAAACAACAATTTATACTGACACTTATTTTTAAATAGTTCTACTTCACTGAAGTAAAAACTCACTAAATAACTGACTTTCAGCTTGCATTAAAAGTCGGCAAATAACAAAAATTTCCCAAGAAAGACAAAACTTGAAAATAAATGTTAACTTATTATTTTTCTTTTATTTATTACACTATTCTATGATGCATGCACAAAGAATACATTTTTATACGTAAATAATTATAAATTTCTTCATTTCATATTACAACTCTTGGCTACAACGCCTCATGGCATTTCAGCTTTGATAAAGTTTGCAACTTTGGAGAAAAATTACTAGAAAGTACCTTCACAACGAACTGTAGATGTTCCCTGCAATCTAGTTGTCGTTTTTTTAGATTTATTAATTTTCAAGTATGGAAAAAAAAATTTCATGTGTAAACATACACCCAAACAAAGCAATTACTTTTATTACAAAAGTTTGTCACTGAGGATATTTGTCTTTGGACAAGTACAAATAAAAGCTAATCAAATTTTAATCTCTAAATAAGATTTGTATCACAGTATAAATTAAGTAGCTCAATTTGCAAATTTCTTGGAGCATTACAAATGTTAAGTTTTGGTAACGAAAATACTGTAAAAATGGATTTCAAACCATTAAAATCTTTATTTTTTCTTTAAATTCTTGTCACAATAATGTCAATTAATTTATGGGCCCTGTAAAATTGCTTCAGAGGCTGCCAGTTTGAGACTGCTGACTTTAGTCATTCTTTGGCCAGTGGATTCTTATCTCACAAACATAATTGTACTCTAAAACACATCTACTACAATGTTCTTTTAATCACTCAGCTTCATAAAAACCTACAACAGTGTATTTAGAACTCAACAATAATATTAAATTATACTTTCGATTTTATAAAAATTAAATTAAACTTTAAAGCAAATTATTTTACCAATTTCAAAACTAAATTTTATCAGCATCTCTAACTCACAACAGATATTTAAGTTGTGAATAGAACTGATTATCTGCAATCTTAAATATCTTACCATAAATTTCAAAATCAATGATCAAGCTTTTACTCACAGCATTTGCTTAATTGAGCTACATCTACTATTACAGGTTATTTACATCCTCCTCATTAAATATTAGACATTTGTGAGCAAAATTAAGAGAACTGGCACATTATGCCAAATTTCTGAACTATACGACAGATTTCAATGAAATTCTGTATGAATACACATTTATAATAGAGAAAGCGATGTACCATTCAAGTCATTTTACATATTCAATATTATCAGTACAGCTAACAGAGAAGGGATGTCCAAAATCCACATTGTGATATCAAATTGAAAATGATTCTACATGAGTATAGATTGCTCTCCTAGCCAGACAGTGTGATGGCATACTGGATCCACATTGTGATATCAAATTGAAAATGAATCTACATAGGTATAGATTGCTCTCCCAGCCAGACAGTGTGATGGCATATTGGACAGGAGACAGTTGAGGAGTCCCTTGGATAGTTAATCCTACTCTTGCAATAAGGCTGTTTTCAACTCTTGGATGGAAGAGATGATATATCCCTCCCAAGAATGTCTCAGATATGCTCTATAAGGTTAAGGTTAGGAGATATAGCTGGCCAATTCATGCGATGAATATCCTCACTTTCCATGTAACTTACGATCAACTGAGCATTATGTGGACAAGTGTGTTAATGGTTCTTATGTGATTCTGGTTAATGGATTGTCATCCATTGGTCCTGGGTTCTTGTTAATGGATTGTCATCCATTAACAAGAACCCAGGACCAACTGCGACCCTGAAAAGTAGAACATCCAAGATCTCCTCTCTATACCTCAGCAGTAAGGCTGGGAACCTTTGTCAAACTGCAGGGATGTGCAGCCATCCAACATAATGCCTGTCTAAATCATTACACCTCCACCACTATAATAACCCTTTCCCTGATGATGCAGGAACAGTATTACATTCCAGACTCCCTCCAGATACAGATACGCCGAAAATGAACATCCAGCCTGGCTGCCCAATTCACACTTTCCAGGTAATCGCAAACCAGCTGAGCTCTCCGTGGACAAGCATTGTCGTCTATTAACAGGAATCCAGGTTCATCTGTGCTCCTGAAAATTCAAATATAAGATTCTAATATCTCCTCTCTATACCTCATAGCATTCAGGAAGCCTTTAGCAAACACATGCAGGAGTACATGGCCATCAAACATAATGCCTGCCCAAATCATTACACCTCCACATCTGTAATGACCCTTTTCCCTGATGATGGAGGGATGTTATCGTGGATAGGCTCTACCCAAGTACAGGAACAGCAAGAATCAGTGTGCAGGACAAATCTCAACTCATACATAAAAAGCATGGTGCTACACTGAAGTCTGGTCCAAGGTGCATGTTGTCTGCAACATGGTAAATGCATTTTTTTTGTGTGCTGCAGTGAGCAAGATGCAAACAGCAGGTTTTTCTGACATACAGCCCTATCTTACGAAGCCTTCAGGCAACTTAAGACTATGAAACTTGGATTATAGTGGCAGAAAACAGCTTACGTGAAAGATGTGAAGCTGCAGCAATTTTATGTCACCACGCTGAAAGTGCCAAATAATGATTCTCATTTGTCTTTGTGGACCTTGTTCAATCTTGTCCAGGTATCCTCAATATGGATCCAATGTCCTGAAACTTTCCACAAACTGCAGATGGCACTAGTCATTACATTGAGCTCTGTAGCATCTGATTCGCCTGCCTTCAATTTACTGATAATTCTGCTCTCACTCTGTCATCCACACATTTGTAGCGTTTTACCTAATAACTAAAAATAGCGAATGTTGTGAAGGACTGTGAACATATAAATTGCCAAAAATGCCTTGTGTGCTTATAACCCATACACAACGTAGCTCCACAGACAATGAAGCATACGTGTTCAACTCAGAATGTTTGCATTATTCTTTGCCAGCATAATTAGTACTTTTCGTAAAAACAGACATAATTTGAAAATTATCTTAATTTTGCACACAAGTGTGCAACATGATATACCAATAAACCTTTGACAACAGGATTTTGAATGACAGGATATACCAATACACATTTGAAAAAAATTTTAAAATATATTACAGTTAATTGAATGTATTTTATTAATAATGGCAAAATTCATCCTGTTTACTTCTGCTTGATTGGATGTGTACCAATTTTAAGAACAGAGTATTTATTTTAAGAACAATGCTATGAATTACAAATATTTAAAATTTTACACAAAAGAGAAATAATTTTTAGTCAATTTAAAGCATTCCAAAGGATTTACTTTTCCCCTGTTACACCAGCTGCATTGTTTCAGGTAATTTTAACAATTTAATAAAATGCAAAGATAAACCCCTTTATGAACATAGATATAAAGAACAGCCAATATAAAGAAGATATAAAGAACAGCCAATCATAACAGTCTCTAATTGGCACAAATTATTAAGGAACTCACTGTTTCTCTAAACGGTAATACTTTTAGAATTCCTAATTCTTATCATTAAATCAATGCTAATATTTAACTGACAAATCTATATCATATAATAAACTTTTATTACATATTAACCATGCTCCCAAACAGTTTTGCTTCCTTCTAATAAAAGTACAGGAAATACCTATGATCAACTGCAGCAATAATTTTGAGGTTTTTAAGAAAGATTTTCTCCAATGTCAATTGCATAAAACAAATTATACAAGGGCACACTTAATACCTTCCAAAATATTCTTTATAACTGTTATCAAATTATGCACATACTTTTCATCTTTCCATAACCTTTCTACACGAAATATATCCAGCTGTTCTGTTTTTGTCCTTCGAAGACTTTCCCTGGCAGCCGCATCTCCATTTTCCATCCCCTGACCAAGAATCTGACCTTGGACATTTTCATTTGAAGTCGGTGTAGTTCCATCATCATCACGCCGAATATAAACACAATCCCCTATTCATAAAAAAAGGAAAAGAAACAACAATAATTTCTATATTGATTATATATTTAACAGCAGAATCTGATTATTACTACAGATCAATGGTTTTCAAACTTTGTCGATTCACAGAACCGTTTAGAACTATAAGGTTTTTTGCCTCGGTGAACATCATTCCATGCTTAAAGAAAGATATTTAAAAAAAATACTTAAAGAGTAGATCAATATGTTACAGATACATTATGTAAAGACAACTGAAGTAAAGTACTGTACTATTCTTTATTAAAAACTATTAATATAAAATTAATGTAATTTATTTCTTTTATAGCATTAATTCATGCTCCAGGAGTCATCTACAGTTGCATTACATATGGTGACTGAGGTATGCTTGCATTTTTTTTTACATAAACCTCTAGGTCGAGCTTTATTGAAGCCCTAGTGGGCCACGGGTTGCAGCGCCAAGAAATCTGCTTTCTTGACCTTGGGCCCCAGGGTGCATCAGCATATGCTCTAGGCAAGTGGTCAGCTTGCCACAAAGACCTCTATTGAAGCTATCTGTGATAATATTTCATATTCTACATCTAATTTGTTTCTGTCTTGTTTTTTGAGCCATATACATTGAGAAAGACTTTTTTACTTAAATATTGTTATAAATTTTGTATAATGTAACATGAACAGCTTGAAGAAATATGAAGCTTTGCCAGAAAAATAAGATTACAAGAACGAGTCCATTTAACATTGATAGATGGCTATCTTGCCAAATCTGCGAGATACCACCAAGCTGGCAATGGTTTTGGTGAGTAATTTTTGTCACCAAATTTGGTGAGGGTCTGGTTCCTGTATAAATGTAATTGATCCTCTTATGTAAGTGTAACCACATCGGGTTCTTATATGTAACTTTAACCTTACATGCCTTCCAATCATTTTGCAAATGGAAGAGTGGAAATTCCTTGGTGGCCGGGGAAGAAATACATAAGACTGGAGAGAGAGCCTGTTTCCCAGTTCTCAGTTCAGGATAGACTTTGGAGTATTGAGAGATCTCCAGGTGAGCTTCACTCTTTAGATGCGTTTTGCATTGCATTGGGTTTAATGTTTGAAGTGTAACTACTGATTGTGCTCTGTCATACTGAGAAGAGCTGTACGAGTACTTTTGTGGAAAGTTCAAGAACGTGAAGTGTTTCTTTTGAGAAATTTACCAAGCTATCATCAGTTCTGCGTGCATTCAATCCACTGAGAATCCTTACGCATGCAACAATATGTTCTTCCGAATGGCATTAAAATGTTTATAGCTATATAAGAAATGTTTTTGCATCAGCTTGAACAATAAAGAAAATGAAGCTACTCTTGCACATATGTCGTTGCTGATACCACGTTATGAATGTCGACAGCCCATGGATGAAATTCCTGATTAATTTTCAAAGCTAATTAAATGCATCTTTATATTTTTTGTTAATAAACAATAGCCAATTAATATGAGTCATTTATAATTTTCTTTCAGAATCTTTATTTTGACTTGCAGAACCCTTAGGTTCTGTGTAATGCAGATTTTGAAGACAACTGCCAAAGACTTCAAATATTAAAATTAATTAATTTTAATATATTCACAAAATTTAACCGTTCGACTGCTACACGGCGCAAAAGTGCTGCATTTGTCTCGAAAACCACGACGCAACGCAGTGTGTCTTTGTTGCTTTATAATACGAAAAGAATTATTAAAATTGATTGATAAACAACTGATTGATAAACATAAATAGTGATTTCAACAGTAAATATCCTGTCGGATCAAACTTGCAAACAAAATTTTACAAAAAAAAAAAAAAAAAAGACATGTTTATCTGGCCAACAATCCTTGTTCCAGAAAGGAAATGTCGAAATGGAAATTATAGTGAAGTCTTCTTATGAATTTTCTTGTTACCCTGGAAGAAAACCTCTATTCTGAGATAATAAAAAAGTCTTTTAATATTCACCCAAAATGTTGGTGATATAAACGTCAAAAATATAGTTGATAAAATAGCTCTGTCTAGAAATACCGTCATGTGTTGTATAGGTGACCAGGGTGAGGAAGTTGGCACGCAAATTGCCTCTGGATTACAATATTGCAAATACTTTTCATTAACTTTAAGCTGCGACATCATAGACAATGCACAGTTAAGCATATTTGTGTGTTACACAAACGATAAATTTGATACTTTTTGATTTGTGCCAACTAGTTACAGGTGAGGACATTCTTAAAGAACTTTAAAATGTAATTGAAGTTAACAATGTAGAGTGGACAAAATTAGACAGATGAAATGCCTTGGAATGGTTGGCAGGATAAAAGGTTTTGTTACATTGCTTGAAAATTATTTGGGAAGAAATGTATTTAAGTATCATTGTATTATCCATCAAGAAGCTCTTTGTGCCAATGACTTAAATTTGTCTTCTGTTCTTGAACTGTAGTGTGCTGTATCAACAAAATACGTGCTCAAACTCTGAATCGATGATGATTTCATGAGCTTTCCCAGAAGAAATGGAGGAAGATAACAAGTTACTCCTTCACTGTAGTATGCGTTGGCTTTCCAAAGGAAATGCACTCGTGGGATTTTGAAATTTGAAGAAGTGCGTTTTAAAATATCTAGAAGAAAACAATGAACTGCCCAGTGAGTGCTCGCTACTCAAGAATGAAGATTGGCTATGGGATTTAGCTTTTCTTACCATTATTATGGGACACTTAAATAACTTAAATTTAAGATTACAGTGAAAAGACTGCATTTTTATTACCCTAGTTAGTCACATATCTTGTGAACAAACTCTTGCTTTTTTGTCTCGATTTTGGAGTAAAATAATTAACATATTTCACATTAATGCAGGAACTAGCTACTAAAGTTAATAATGCTCCAAACTATGACAGATTTAAAAATTTAATATCCATTTTGCAGGAATCATTCAGTACTAGGTTTCGTGATTTTTAAGACGATAAAAATAATGCTGATCTTTTCACAGATCCTTTTTCAATTTCTCTGCAAGACTTTAATTGTTACCCACTTGATATCCAAATCGAAATTATTGATCTACAGCACCATACTACTCTAAAAAGCAAGGAACTTATTCTAACTGCAAGTGATCCGAACCATATTGAATTTTGGAAATTTGTAACAACAAGCAATTTTCCAAATTTACACAATTTAGCCGTCAGATATTGTTGTAGGTTTGAATCGATGTATGTTTGTAAACACATGTTTTCTATTAGAAACATAATAAAATCAAAATGTTGTTTAAGATTAACTGATATGCACCTAAAACACCTAATTTTGTTAGCACCTTCAAGACCTAATCCTAATATTAGTGAAAAAAAACCTACAAATTCAAAAGCCACATTAAGTAAGTATTGACTGTTTAATAACTATTTAGAAATAAATGTTTCAAGTTACTTTGATTTTATACATAACCTAACTGACTAAATCTTTAAAAATGTTTACTAACAATAAAACCAAAATTTGTACTTTTATTTTTTTTATTATATTATTTTTTAAATCTCCACTATTTTAGACTTAGCTGAAAAAAAGCGTACTATTTGTCTAAAAACCCCATAATCAGCCTATAAATAATGTTTTTTCACCTTTTCTTACTTTATAGTTTGCTGGAAAAGTTGGAAGTGGCACGCATAATCCCTCCCCCCCCCCAGATAGTGGCACTCTTCCCAAAAAGCTTGGCCACCCGTGAGATACACAATAGCAAGATATACAATGCTACATAAGTAATAAAAACTCATACGCAAAACACACGGTTGTGAACTCAATTACACATTTTATAAACCCTGAAATTATCACCCTAAAAAAAAGAAATAAGTTAATAAACCAATAGAAAATATTATGATAATAGACAAAAACAACAATTAAATGAATTTAAATATTTACAGTTCATTCAACACTAGATTTACAGACATTTTTGTATAACTACATTTATGGACATCAGTCAAATTGATGGGTATAGAAAAAACATGTACTTGCTTTAAAAAATTATTAATGTAATTTAAAAACACTTACAATTTTAACACCAAAACTACAGATAACCGTCAATTTGATGAATTTGTAGTTGTTTTTATCAGTGTAAAAAAGTTCTGGCAGTTTTATTGTTAACAAACATACCAGAGCAATCTTCGCTGATGCTAACTATTCTCTCTAGCAATTCAGGACCTCTTTAGAAAGTACTCATGATGACTAAAGATTCATATTTTGTCAGAATAAAGCAAAACTAGTGCCTACCTGTAATTCTAAAATTATTTCGTTATTACTCATAATAATCTTTAATACTTTCTTCTCAATCATCTCTGCTCACACTAACAGAAACTTTTTTTAAAACATCTTGTCACATTGACTGCCAACAAAGAATTACAGATTTCCTTACTCTTGAGCCTAACACTTAATTTTTACACTTTAGATGTTTAATGTTACACAACACTTAGATGTTTAATGTTACACAACTGACACTTAGATGTTTAATGTTACACAACTGACAGATAATCACGTGACATAGCTCTTGCTCTGGTCAACTGCAGCGTTTTGATATCAGGTTTGAAGTTATTGAAAGATATTTCCTTTGAATAATGATTTTTATTTAGTATCTACATTATAACTACTTTTACTTTTGTCATCAGAAAAATAATTTCATAAAAAAGTGGTTAATTATAATTAACTATGACACTAGATTACCCGTTATTTTGACGGCTATCTGTACAGATAGGTCTAAACAGAATTAAATTTGGGTACGTATTCATCTCATTGCATCAATAATTGTCAACATAAATTAGAAAACTACAAAAATAATGGTCTTTATAATTTTGCTCATGAAATCCGAAATCGATCAAAATGATGGGTCCCGTAAATCTAGTGTTTATAACAATAGGATTAATTCAAACACTTACCAAAATATCTACAACAGTATGAATCTATAGATATAAAAAAAAATAATTTGAATTTTGAAAAAATCACTTCATTGCACTGCCAAAGACCAAATGTATGTGTACAAAATTTGAAGTTGATAGCTTATCAAAAAGTAGGCTACAATTCAATGACAAAATTCCACTCACAATGAAACAACATGAGTGGACACAATAAAAGCTTATAAAAGACAGGACATTTCTGTGAGAAATCTATGAGGTTTTCACACTACATGGTGATACCTTTCCCAAGGAACTCCAAACTGCCTTTAATTCAATTTATAATGTAAATTCAGGTTATTGAACTATTTGCAATTCAATTGTAAAACATACTGGCATTTATTTGGATATTCAGCTGAGTGGATAAACTTAGTAGCGTACCATTTATTGATGTAAAACAAAATTAAATACAAATATTAACTGCCTGTTTGAATCTTCATATAAAAATCTACAAATATCTACTGTGGATTAAGACAACTCACATCAAATAAAATTTAATAAAAAAAATTAAGATAGCAAAATTAATAAAATGTAATAAGAAAAAAGTGCAATCTAGATGAAATAAATTTAATAATAAGAAATATTTTTCTGAAAATCATTAGAGGTGGTGAAATGGAAATAGAATAATTTAAATTTTATTTATTCATGAGAAACATTTTACTTAGCAAAGGCTAAAAATTAAAAAACAGGAGATTCAATCATCTACCAAGAGATCAAGAAAAGTGATGAAAAACCAGAAGTCTCCCTGTAAAAGGCAGAAAGGCAAGCTGTGCAATATATAAAATTGCTCTGTAACTTTGCTTCATCAAAACACTGTCTCCATGCACATTTTGCTAATATAAAATCTATAGAGGCTAATTAAAATGATAATCAATACCTTGTTTTACTTGCAGATCATCTTTTAACAGAGTAATATAGTACTGGCATTCAGGATTAGCATAATGAGGTCGAGGCACCATGAGTATTTCCTATAAAGAGAAAAAAATTTATAAAAAAGAACTGAAAGGGTTCAGATTTTTACAGTCACCGAAAAAGACACAGAAATTTTCAACAGAGATGGCACAGGTGGAACAGCAAAATATTATAGGATATTAGATGAATATGCATTTAGACTAACATGGGAACGTTATATATCTTCTGTACATTTAAAAAGCAAAAAAGTATGTAACTCTATAAAAATACTTATAATGTTTTTATTTAGACATACTGTGAATTAAATACATCTTTACTTCAATCAATACATCTTTACTTCAATCACATCAGTTGCTTTTAAATAGTAGTTTAGTTTTCTAAAGAAAAAACAGATTAAATAGGAAATAATATTTAGTGCTTTTCTGAATGGAAACAGATGCAAATGAAAACTGAAACAATGATCGCGTTTCGAGACTATCAGCCCTTTTAGGCCAATAACACTAATAGATAGCTATATTGCAAAAGAAATAAAAAGATTCCAAATTTGTCAATTTGTGGTTATATTAAAAGCATTCTGATAACTATTCACAATGAACCAGAAAATATTTCTTGACAAAATTACAATAATAAATACTTAGTGTAGTATAATATTAATTAGTAAAAAACATTCATAAGTGACTTTGAAAAAATTTTTCATTTGCCAATAAATACAATTAAAATAAAGAAAATAACTCAAATTTTCCCACATACTGCATTTAGTTACAGTTGTGGACTTTTTCTTAAAATGTCCAGCAAATTTATTAAACTATGACGGAAGAGTATTTCAATTTGTTTGGAAAATATTATGTTTGGAATAACATTATTTAAACATTAATTTTTTCCAAACATAATTATTAATTATTCCAAACATTATGTTTGGAAAATTAATATATTTTATAGCATGGAAGAATAAGTTGAAAATTTTTTATGACTTTTATTCAGAAGTTATGATTCTCCAGTAAAATCACAAACACAGCAATAATTAATATGATTTTGTCAAAAACATTAAAAACAATAAAAATAAATAATAGAAAAGGGATATACTGTTTTATAGCATTATAAAATAATAGAGAAAGGACTTGGTTTGACTTGGTTGATTATGAAAAGCACATGATAGCTATCTGCCTAGGAAGAGAAGATGCCTTTAAGGAGGGTTTTCTAATAGGAACTGGCTCATTTTCATATTACACATAGAAGAAAACCACGAAAATGCCTACACAGCTCGCCCATTTGCTGTGATTTTAATCAAGGTTGAACTACCAATATACAGTGTTGCCCAGCCGGTATAGTGATTAGTGACACCGACTACCATACCAATGGACCGGGGTTTGAATCCCTAAAAAAGCAAGGATATTTATAAGCATATAGTGTCTTGGTGGCCGGGGAGTATTCAAAATACATGACGAGCCAAAAATCCTCTCGAAAGGTTGGTGATCGGGAAAGAAGGCTGGAAGACCCTCAGACTGCCCTTGGAATATTCTCCCTTAAAACTAGAGTGGAATTGCCCAGTTAGTAGGGCAAGGCTATATCCTGTATGAGCAATAGTGAAATTCTGGCAGCCCAACGACTTCTACTTGTACCAATATTTTCTGATGTAACCATTCAGCCACAGATGAGTCAACATTAAAAAGGACAGTGGAATTGTATCATATTCACAAAATGACCAGTTTGGCTTGACACATATTTACAGATTATTGAAGACGTTAAGGCAACAAGAATCAACACAATATTAAGCCAATTCTTGTTGCCTTAACACCTCCAACAATCACAACTCGACATATTATTTTAACACAGGTGTATAGATTAAAAAGCACTTTTATAGAATTTCAATCCTTGTCCTGGTGACCATCATGAGAAAAGAAGAAGGTATCCCAAATAAATAACAAATATAAATTAAAAGGTTAGGTTAAATTAGGTTAATTGAAACATGGCAAAACTATATGGGCTATTTGCCTAAGAGGAGCGATGCCTTCTTGGGAGATTTTCTAAGGAAAGCAGGTTTGTATTCACATTACACATAGAGAAAGCCATAAAAACCAAACATGTAGCCAACATTCACCTGGGATCAAACCCAAACTAAGTCAAACTACCAGTATTTAGCAGGTTTACACTCGGCACTGGTGAGGTTATAGATTAAATAGAAAATTTTACTCTATGCAACAGAGAAATATACTAACTTATAATAACCCTTTTCAGCCATTTTTTTCCCAGGGGAAATAAAAAGTGAAATATCTTCGGGTTTTTTTTTTTTTTCCCAAAAGCAAAAAAGTTATTAAACCCTCTTTTTTTCCCCTTTTTAAAAGCAAAATGCCCTGCAGCAAGCTTTACTAAAAAAGTCAATTTTATTTAATTCTTTTTCTCAGTCCAAATTGAGTTGAACATTTGTAAACTGGCATACCATCAAATATACAAATCACATAACTACATTATGCGTAAGAGAGCTTTTTTTTTTTTTTTTAAATAATAACTCCCTTCCACTAGTATTAATGTTTGACAGTGTGTCAGAAGAATTTAGAATACTTTTATAAGCTTATGACTGAATTTTAATCTTTTAGCAATAACATAGGTTCACTAAATGATAAGAACTAATAAGAGGGAATTGCACTTCAAATACTCACACATATTCCCTCATTACCTTAGAGAAGAACGTATCAAGTTGCCCAGACAGGATAGTGGCTAGTGACGCTGACTGCCAATATGAAGGCCTAGGTTTGAATCCCAGAGAAGGCATGGATATTTGTAAATCTACAGTGCCTGAGCAGCATGGGGCACTCAAAATATATGGTGAGCCGTAAATCTTCTTGACTGACTTGTATGCCAGAGGACGAGGGGTGGAAGTCTCCGGGTTCTTTACTTCAAAATTGGAGTGGAGCAGGGCAAAGATGTACTATCACCTATATGGTGCTCAAGGCTGATGCCAATGGCAAAAGCAATCTTGTACTCCTTGCCATGATATAATTTGTGGGCTTGTTCAGATTAGGTCCAAAAAGTGAGATCAGAAATAACAACAAAAGTATGCAGTATGCCACGTAGCATATACTGCATATACTTATGCAGCATAGCAACAGAAGTGTAAATAAAAATTTTTACAAATTTTATATACCAATTATTTATTGTGTCTGACACACTTACTAAATATTTGAAAAAGAAATCTCAACTCTACTATTTGAGGAAATCCGAATTCCCAAAATTTTTAGAGAAACTTTTAAAGAATTTGACTGAATTTCACAACAACGTACATTTAGCAGGAGTTGTAATAAGAATACATCAAGGTTAATATGATAAAATAGGCCAATAAGTTTCTTTACAAACAAATAAAACCATAAAGCAACAAATGTACCTTTGACAATTCTATTCCACTGCACTGCTCACACAAATATTTTTCGACTTTGCCATCAACACCAATGCAATCACAATGCTGCCATACCTGAAAAAATTTCATTTAATCACAAAACTAAGTTTTAAATACATTTAATTTATTAACATAATTCTTAATACTTTAATCCATAATTTATTTTTGCTTTATAAATTTATAATTCAATTATTATATTATTATTTTACAATTTATACCCTCTTTAGCCATATGGCAAGCAAAAATAAAAATAATACATACAAAACATTTTTCACACTGAATCATGAGACCTTCATCTTTGTAAATATTGCAAATACACCTGATGACTTCATCATCTTCATCTGTTTTGTTTCCTAAGCATGATGCACAAAATATGCATACATTAGTATACATTATTATACATATATTATACATTGTAAATCATGGATTATCAACAAGAGAAAAAGTTACCATCTGACTTAGAGGATGAAAATATTGATGACATAGATTCTCCAAGGATATCTTCAAACAATATCATAGCATCAGTCTTAGAAGAATCATAAACTTTTCTCAAGAGAGAAATTTTGTGTCCTAAATCTGATGTTCTTCCATAAAAATCCTGGAAAGAGAGAAATATAGCATGTAAAAAATACCTTTTCTTAATCATGTGACAAAACACTGTAAATAATTTGGCTAACTAGAAGGAAAAATTTTAAAGTAATCTACCAATGCACTGCAAAAGGTTTTTGAAAGCCTTCATCATTTACATAAACTAGACAACTTTGTTCCATAACTTTCTTTGTAACTAACGAACGTTTTCAAAAATTCACAGAATGCCTCTGACTGCTTATTCATGAATTTCAGTTAAGATGAAAGGTCACAAACTTTGCTTATCCTGAAATTTTTGCAGACATGCAAATTTCCCCTCTATTTAAAGGTGTACACCATTTTTACCTTATTTAATCATTGATAAAGCATTTTTTCACAATATTTAAACCTTAAATCATGTTTTAGTCAACAGATGGCACTATGGTCATCCAAATTTTTGTATTTGTTTTTGTTCACCAACTGATTTTGCAAGCACTTCCGTTATTATTATTTTTTTTTTATTCCGAATATGGCTTGCAGGAAGTATTCAGGAAAAAGTGATGGAATATATGTTCCTGATGATATTTCTGATACTGAAAGTGATTTTAATTACTTTGAAGATAGCAATAGCAAAACAGACTGTTGTTTCGTAGACTCATCTCCAGATAGTGATAAATCCGAAAGTGATTTAACAACCATCCAAACTGTTTGGTAATGGTGCAATGTCAAAAATATTATGCCAGCTCCTGCCTCATTTTCTTTTCTAGACAATACAGGAACAACCATGAATCTGACAAATAATGCAACTATTTCAGATTATTCTGAACTATGGAATATAAGTTACGCCTGGAAGCTCCAGTTCTACTCACAACCCTTAGATTGACAGTTCTTCATTTTCAAGCCACTTGCCTCTTAATTCCATAAAACGAGAGGCACGCTGAGATTGTGCTCCCACTGCAACTCACAAAAGCATTTATAAAGAAACACTAACTTAATGCAAAGAGCATGTTATCAAACAAAAAAAAAGAGTCACACTGACAATGTGCTCCCACAGAAACTGACAAAAAATTTGTAAGGTAACACTAACTTAGTATATAGAGCATGTACCTTTGTTGCTTCAAAACAGTGCAACTGACAAACAAATTCACAAAGAAACACTAACTTAGTGCAAAGTGCATGAAGTAGGACTTTCCTTGGAACCTTATTATGCAATGTACACATTAAATTTAATTAATTCCTACCATACCTTATGTAAATATTGAATATTTTCATTAGTACACACACATTACGTTTGTATTTTACACTGCTGGCCATTAAAATTGAAGAAGGAAACAAATAAAAAAAAGAATGAACCATGAAGGAAAGCAAATAAAAAAAAAGATATTTATTGCATATAAACAGTATTGCATGAAGAGACAAAATGATTAAATTTATAAGCATTTTGAAGGTTTACAGGGGTGAAAAATTAGAAGAAACAGTTGCCACAACTAGCAGCTAAACTAGCCCTTACCCCATTGGCCATGAAGTCAAACTGGGCTTGGATGGCAGAAACGGGCAACTCATTCCATGCTGCTTTAAGTCTAAGCCACACTTCATCAACCATATTAACTGGAGAGTGGTGGCGGGCCAGTCTCTCCGCAACCCATAGCCAGATGTTTTAAATGGGTGACAGATCTGGAGACCGTGCAGGGCTCAGGGTAGCAATCGAATACCCTAAGTTTCAAGGAAGGTCAGAACAAGAGGTCCGTGACACTTAGCCGACAGGACACTTAACCGACACCAGTTAGCCAACAGGACATTTCCGACATGGACACTCAGCCTACAAGACATTTAGCCAACACGGACACTTAGCCGACAGGTCATTTAGCTGACACGGACAGTTAGCCAACAAGACATTTAGCCGACAAGGACACTTAGCCAACAGGACATTTAGCCGACACGGACAGTTAGTTGACAGGACATTTGGCCGACAGGACGACACGGACAGCTAGCCGACAGGACATTTAGCCAACACGGAGAGTTAGCTGACAAGACATTTGGCCGACGCAGAAAGTTAGCTGTTAGGACATTTAGCTACGGGACACTTACCTGTCAAGACACTTAGTCAACAGGTTACTAAGCCGACAGTGACGTTTAACAGACACGTACCCAAAAATTATTTAAACTATCAATTACAAAATTTCTCGACTACTAAGTTCAATATTTAAGTCACTTTTTTCACCTATCAGTAAAATTCATTTTTCTATTCTTAAAGATCTCACATGTGCTATTAATTATTGTGTTAATTTAGCATTGTTTGATATGTATCGTGCTGTTTGGTGTACATTGGCTAAATTGAAAAAGCGCTCAAATTTCTCGAAAATGAATAAAACAAAACTTTAAAGAATATTTTACTTCTAAATAAACATTATGCACTAGTTTAGGGCTATAAACATTAACCTAAGTAAGTATTTTAAGCGAGAGGCGTAATCAATAAAATGTTACAGAATTTTTATCTCAAGAATGGTGGCATGAACTGCAAATTATAGAGGTCATAAATAATTTATACCTTTGCTTGTCTTAAAAATTCACTTTTTTAAATTGTTTTTAATACCAAAATAAAATATATTTGCTAAACTAACCCTCACCACCATATGTTTCCATAAAATGTATAATTCATGAATAACAATAATTTTTATTGCATTATTCAGATTTCTCATGACAGGGAAAGAAAATTTCCTTAGTGGGAAGAGCCAAACGATTTTGTAAGGGTTTGGTTTTGATTTATTTAATTATGGCAAAGCACACTAGGGTTATCTGCCTATGGGAGGGATGCCTTTGTGGTGGACTTTCTAACGGAAACTGGCTCGTTTACACGTTACACATGGAGAAAACCACGAAAACGCCCATGCAGCCAGCCCGTTCGCGGGATTCGAGCCTCGGACTTAACTACCAGGGCTCAGCGACTTTACCGCTTGGCCACACGATTTAGTAAGGGAAAGAATGTAACATAATGTGATGTGTAAAATAGTAATGAAACATAAAGGTATTAACAATTTGAAAGCATTTGGAAGAGCGAGATTGGAAAATTAATATTATTAAGTAAACAAGAAAAATTATTAATGAAGTGAAAGTGTTCAATAGAACCCAGTTGATTAAATGAAGAAGCTTTATGGATAATTTTTGAAGATCTCACATTAAAATGTAATTAAGTGACCGCCGTACTTAGCTAAAAATATTCGTTTTTCCTTTCGAAATTTCATTCATATTCCCTGACGAGAAATTTCAGCGCTTTATAAAGGGATGCCTTCGTGGAGGACTTTTTAAGGGAAACTGGCTCGTATACACGTTACACATGGGGAAAACCACAATACCACCCATGCAGGCAGCCCGTTCCCGGGATTCGAACCTCAGACCGAACTACCAGTGTTCAGCGACGTTACCGCTCGGCCGCTGGTGGGCTCGTAAGAAAGTGTAGGGACGATCTGGATTACTTTAACACGGAAACCGCTGGCGTTTGTATCACATAACTGTTTTTAATTATTAAATGTGATACGTTGTATAAGTGATGAGATTATGAAAGTCCCAGTTTTTGCAAACAAGATTTAACATATCTCATAAAAGCACTTTTTACTGCATTTTGCGCATTTTTTTCAAGCGTAATTCTTGTATAAATTTCTTTACTTTAGTAAAACGGTAAAAATTTTAAGCGCAAAACTTATGAACTTACTTTTGTGTACAAATAAAGTAAAATTAAAGAATACTGATAGCATATGATGCTTTGAAACAAATAAGGTAAAATTAAACAAGATCTGATAATTTTCTTTGATTTTATGAGCATTTTCAGGCAGTAGTTTTTAAAATTATTATAACATAACAAGACTATCATTTATTTGATTATATAATCATTAATTATTAACATTGCAAGATGATTATTTATTTTAGTAATTCATAAAATTCGGAGCATAAACTTTTTTGAGTGTGATGAGGGGGAAAAAAAAAGGATAAACTCTGGAAGCACTCAAGCAATAATTTTATATTACGCCCAAAGAAGCAGTTTTTGTAACGTTTGCGTGTTACCTTTATTTATTAAACATCATGTTTTTTTCGCAAATAAACCACATAAAATTTAATTCAAGAACAATATCACAAAATATTTGAAAATGACATATCTTTAGAATTTCCGCCCTAGAGATTGTTATTTTCTGTACAGGGTTGCCATTGCTTGCTTTGAACTCATTAAGTTTCTTAATCAAAACTTCGTTAAAGTTACAAATCAAATATATAATAAAATATCAAATGGATTAAAACAAGTTTGAAATTAGGCCGTCCAGGTGAACATGTTCGGGTGGAGGATTACATTATTCAAAATTTTATGATTCTAAATTCTGTTGTTTTTTTCACATTGCGAGAGAAACATACATGCATTCATGTAGATTCTTCATTATTTAATTTCTTTAAATATAATATAGGGCGATAACATTTGGTGGCAACAGTTTGCAAAGTGAAACGGACATTTATAGTGAAACAAAGCAAAATCCCGTTTCGAAACTAATAGCTTTTCTGAGCTGCCGCCCCTTTGGGTTAATAAAATAAATTAGCAATAAACAAGAAAACTTATGCAGAACTAGACATAAATTTAAAAAAAATAATCACTATAAAATACTAGCACAATTAATTATTACAGTTAAATACAATTTTTAACATTAGAATAAATGCATAAAAATTATTAAAGTGTTAATCACTATTATGTATTATGAAATATTATTGAAATAAAACTTCTTTGCAGAATATTATGCTATAATATTCAGATATACGTTTAAAAAAAGCAGTACAAGTAAGAAATTTAAGCAAAAACTTTCAAAAATCCTTTTTTTTTTTTTTTTTTTTTTTTTTTTTTTTTTTTTTTTTTTTTTTTCCCGATTTTAGAGTATTTTTCACTTATTTACGCCAATAAAAAGCATAAAAATTTTAAGAGAAAATTGTTTGTTTGAATTTTTCTATTAGTTCAGATTTAAAATTTTTTTTTTAAAAGAAGGCGATACAAATTTCCTTACAGCATAGGAAAAGCTAAAAAATTATCCAGACCTGAAAGCATGCAATAGCTTTATAATTACCAATTCAGAAGTCAAACAACAAAACAAACAACAGCTTTATAATTATTTAGAACATTAATTACGCTTGATAAACATGCTAGATTTTTAAAAATCAATCTCAGTTTCAAAAATAAAAATATCTAAAAACTCTAACTTGTGAAATGAAGTGCTATCACCAGCTTTTTCTTGAAAATTATACGCGCTGCAATAGCCAACTATTGTTAAGTTTCAGCAAGTCGTCCCTACTCCTCCGGATGTGGTCAAGATGATAGCCGGCAATACACCAAGGCAAGGGAGAAAACCCATTTGGGTTGGTCTATTTCTTATAAGGCCCATGGATACATATCAAACAATGCTAAATTAACACAATAATTAAAAGTATATATGAGATCTTTAAGAATTGAAAAATGAATTTTACTGATAGTGAAAAAATAACTTAAATTACTTAAATCTCTCTCTATGCTGCGTGGTCAAAGGAAGCCAAAGTAATGGTCACCCTGCTGATAGTTAGTCCACATTGCTGCAAACATGGATGCACCTTAAGAGTTGAGCACCAATTTCCTGACTAATGGTCCATGATGTTGTCGTACGGTTTTGCAAGGCTGACCTCACAATATGTCTGCCCTCTCTGTCATGGGAGGGCATTGAGATCCTGCATGGCATTCAGTACGTACCTCAGCAATCCACTGATTCCATATTCACATGACAGTGGTTGGATGTCGACTGGCGCTACCATGGAACGATAATCTATACTTTCAATAGGCAACAATATTGCCTCTATCAAATTTCAAAACTTGCTGGTAAGCATTTCCTCTTCTTAGTCATGGCATAACACAATATTCTGAGCAAACTCCAACCTCAATAAGCATTTTCCGAATGAGAAATCCATTACACAACTTTTCTTTTATGCAGTTCTTCAGATGTTTCTCCCTCCTGCATTGTCTGAATGTGCTGAAATACTAATCATTTGCATATCCCAACTTCTTCCTTTCATATGATTTTGACATTCATCAGATCATTCCTTCCTGGTGCTGGAATTTTAATGGCCAGCAGTGTATAAAGTAAATCACAATTTAATCAAGATTTATTTTCAAAATTTCTGTCTTTTTCGAAGTACTCTTAAAACTGAGTTTTTTGAAAGCCTGAAAGTTTTTTGTTCTCATGCACAAAAACTATATTGGGGGGGGGGGAGGGAATCTTGGTTTCAAAATTGTGTTATTTATTTCAGATCTCAAATACATGTAGATTTGAAACATGCAATTTTTGAAGCAATTTTGATTTTTAAAAAAAACTGCACAATCAGAGGATTAAGTTTCAAAGAAGCACAGTTTCAAAGTCATTTAACTTTTAGTTCTATCACTCTGTACAATACATTTGCAACTTAAGTATTTGCCTTTCAAACACTCATCTAATTAGTTTTGCTTTTACATTTTGTTTAAAAAAGAAGAGAGAAAGGAAACAGCTTTAAAATACACATCCCTAGTAAATAAGGTCTGTTTAAAATATTTAATTTTCAAGTATATTAAAAAACAATTTTCATAACTCAGTTTCAACAAATACACCAAGACTGATAAATTTAAAATGCATTATATACAGTGAAAAACATAAGACCATTGTTCAACATACATTTTATTGTTTCTCACACTGCTACGACATACAAAATAGGGAATAAAAGTTGAAAGCAGCCAAGTCATAAACTAGCATCTTGTTATTAACGTTGAAATGAATAACGAGAGACAATTTTTACATTCCAATCAATGATCTCTCAACAGTTTCTTAAAAATAATATGAAAAATAGTAATTTAGAATTTAAACTATTCCAGTTAATTTTTCCATTCAAGACTATATATTTTATGAGCCTTTATACAACTGAATTTTTACTAAATTTTTAAAATAAGGAAACACCTTCTTACTTCAGCATTTTCAAACAACCTCAAAAAGTCATCTTCAAATGCTTCCACACTCTTATATTGGCCGGTAATGATGTTCTTCTCTATAGTTGCAAAATCTATTGGGTACTTTATTTTATTATAGTACATAGAATTCCTAAAAAATAAGCCAGAGGGAAATTTATTTTATTCATAATACAATAATTTCAAAATTAAGCAAAATTCAAAAGATACTGATTTGAAAAAAGTTCTATGCATCTTGTGTCTAAAAATGAATAAAATTATTTTTAAAATCAAGGCAAATTCTAAGTATGAGTTTACCAGGCTTCTCTTAGCTCTGTCCTCATTTCAACTAACATTTAATATTTACCCTGTTTACATTTCTACATTACTGTTAAACATTTTTAACACAGTAACATTTAACAATAGCACTAAATAACATAAACAATACTGTACAAACTCAGAAAAGTGCTAAATTATGCATAAGAAAACGTCAATTTTACAAAAAAAAAAAAAAAAAAAAAAAATGTTATATGTCAAGACAGAACAGAAAAAGCCAAACCAACAACCTTGTTTTTGATGAAGTTACATATATTGAAATTTCAATTTATTCAAGCTTTTTCAAATTTAAAACGGATCATATTCTTATCATGCATGAGAACCAAAGAATGGCTAATTTTAAATTAGCACTCATAATTTAAATATCTGTGAGGATTGGGAGAAAATTAAACATGAATTAATATGTTTTAAAGCAATGTGTTAAGATCATTGTAGGAACTGACTATACAAGTTTTCCCAAAAGTTTACGAATACAATACCATCTATTGATTGCAGTCAGAAATTCCATAGTTTATTCTAGATAGTACTCAACTGCATAAGCAAGTACTTTAGCAAATAATTCTAAATACGTCAGCTCTTTTCTCCAAGAAAACAATAATCCAATGCTACATAATCTTCTCCCAGTGCACAACACGGTGTTTTGAAAGTGTAGTTGTATATTGAGACAGTTCATATACAGGCATGTTTATAAAGCCATGAGCTAAAAGGCATATGAATCAACTGTGCTGATTGAAATTCATAGGAGAGAAGCAGAGCTTCAAAGGAGTAATTCATACGATCCCAACTGTCAACAATCCGTAGCAATTTACTATATGCATTTATAAAACCATTATATAGGTTTACATAACATGAAAATATAAATACAGTACTTTAAAGAAAGGGTACATTATTACAATGATGGTGTAAAATATTATTTTAATCTTACCGAGATAGGCATACCATATGCATCAGCTGCAAATGTTATTCACAGCTGGGTGTACCATGAATAAATCCCCGTTTAAAAATTGAGGCTAAGGATAGGTGTATCACGTATGAACTATTACGACAGAACATTTAATTGGTACAGTCAAAAGTCGTTAATCCAGAATCATCTATAATCCGGACCTCAAAGCTACAAACTTTCTGCGCATGCGTGACACATGAGCATAACACCTTTACGCATGCGCATATGCATTCATGCATGTGCATAATACCTTTACACATGCACGTTTAATGTATAACGGATGGTATAAGCTAAGCTAAAATTATCTAATTATCTATTTCAGTTAATCTTGAAGATTGCGTTGTTCCTTAATCTCCGAATTGGATCTGGCTTATTACTTTTTGCAGACTGTCAAAACAATTTTATAAAAGTAAGCTTGAACTTTCGATTATGTCAAAAAGAATTTCCGATTTTGGAGCTGCCAAAGGATCTACAAAGCGAAAGCATGTTTCGATGTCCATCAAACAAAAAGTGGAATTCCTGCAAAAAATGGATAAAGGCATATCCTTTGTTTCTCTAACCATTCCGAAATCTGTTTATCAATTTCACGCTGCTCAGCGGGGCAGGGGGAACATCATGGTGTGCAATGAACTGGAAGTTGATCTGTCGGCACTATCCTTATCTTCAGGGCAGTTTTCATCTCTATGTACTCTGATATGATTTAAATCAAACTCCTTGTCATTATAAATATCAAGAAAACACATCAAATAGTTTTCTGGTTGCAATTTTCTAATTTGGACTATGTGTAATATATGCTTTATGCATGCGCGCATTGAAAGAAATGTTTAAACAAATAAATATTTTTTTTTTTTTTTTTTTTTTGTAAATTTTGATACTCTTTAGATCAGAATTGCTCTTTATTTAATAAATTACGCTTTCATATTTTTAATTTTATAATTTCTGCATGCCACTAGATTTAAATTGATGATCTATAATCCAGAAAAACCGATAATCCGGAATTGCCGAAGTCCCGACGAGTCCGGATTAAAGACTTTTAACTGTACTTCCTTTATTCTTCCAGTAGATTTAATTTGTGACGAAACCGAAGTAAATATTGAATCTGATGTTCCAAACATTTTCAGAGATAAGGTGCAACGATTAGTTTCAAGTTATGTAACGTGTAAAGCTAAAACAACAAATAACATAGAAATGAACCTTTCGGTAAAAGATAATGAACCTATATTTCATCAGCCTCATAGAATGCCATTTTCAGAAAAAAGAATTGTTGAAGCTCAGGTAGCTGAATGGTTAGTACAGGGAATAGTAGAACCTAGTTCTTCAGAATATTGTAGCCCAGTTGTAATCGTTAAAAAAAAAAAAGATGGAACACCTCGTTTATGCATTGATTATAGGAGATTGAATAAAGTAATAGTAAACAACAAGTTTCCACTTCCATTAATTGAAGATATTCTAGATTGGTTACAGGGATCACATGTGTTTAGTACGATTGATCTTAAAAATGTGTTTTTCCATGTTGACATAAGCAAGGACGGAGTATTTCATCTCAATGTACTCCGTCTTTGATATGATTTAAATCAAATTCCTCGTCATTATAAATATCACGAATACACATCAAATAGTTTTCTGGTTGCAATGTTCGAATTTCGACTACGTGTAATGTATGTTTTACGCATGCGCGCGTTGAAAGAAATGTTTAATAAAGTAAACAAATAAATATTAAACTTTTTTTTGTAAATTTTGATACCCTTTAGATCATAATTACTCTTTATTTCATAAATTACGGTTTCATATTTTTAACTTTATAATTTCTGCATGCCATCTTACCAGATTTAAATTGATGATCTATAATCCGGAAAAACCGATAATCCCGAAGTCCCAACGAGTCCAGATTAAAGACTTTTGATTGTATTTTTCACTGCCACTAGATGCAGCTCAATGCTTGGTATGGTGGAATTTATAATGATTCCAGAATGTATTCTATAGCAGAATTTTTTTTATTTTTTGTGCCGGAATTGTGGGGATTAGTAATGTAAATAAATAGAGCAGGCTATCAATTGGATCAGCTGATAGAAACACATACACTGTTCTGGGTGCTTTTGAATGTTTTTATTTTTGTCAATATGGGGGTAGTTCTATCTATGGTTGTATGTTCTATAGTTTTTAGAGGTTTCATTTATTCCTCTTGAAGCTTGGTTAGTCGTAATACAATACTTTGTGTATCATTTAGCAAAATACTTTTTTATAATTCAAATTTCAATTTATAATTTGTAAAACAAAAACAATATTCAATAGATGAGGAGCATACACATAAAATGAATGAGTCATTTTCTGACACAAATGGCAGCGACAATATTTCTAAAGAATTGGAAAGAAATTATAACGATTCTAATATGATCTGACAATAATTTCCAACACTAGTCATGATGATGAAATTTCTTACAGAAACTGTCGTGATAATAATTCTAAAACGGACATACTACCAGAATACAGATATTATAGCATGCATGCCTTCTACATTTTAGGACAAGCACCTTAGTTCATACATTTTGAACTGAAACTATCTTTTGAACTTTTGAACTTATCTAACTTTTGAACAGAACACTATCCCTGATTGAAATTTCTGATTTTGTAAGAAACCATTGACCACAGTAGTTACCCCATCTCCTTCAAAATCGGTAAATTTTCAGATGTGACAACAAAGGAATGAAAGTATTTTTGATAATTTTGATATGAATAATAAAAAAGACTAATCTATGTTTTGAATTATTACTTCTTTTTTGTTGTTTACATGCTTTTTTTAATGAAAGAGGTTTTTCAATATTTTTTATTTTTATTAATACAATATACAGTACAAAGTCTGTAATCCGGAAGTCTATTATCTGGAATGATCTATAATCTGGACCTCAAAGCCACAAACTTTTTTTTTGCATGCTTTACGCATTTAATGTTACACATGCGCATTTAATGTTTACTCATGAGCGTTTAGCACAAAAAACGAAGCAATATAAACAACTTATATTGAAAAAAATGTTTAACAAAGTAAACAAATAAATATTAAGCTCTTTTTTTTTTTTTTTTTTTTTTTTTTGTAAATTTTGATACCCTTTAGATCATAATTGCTCTTTACTTCACAAATTACGGCTTCATATTTTTAATTGTATAATTTCTGCATGCCATCTTACCAGATTTAAATTCATGATCTATAACCCAGAAAAACCCTTAATCCGGAATCGTCGAAGTCCCGACGAATCCGGATTACGGACTTTGTACTGTATAACAAAATCTCATTATTTATATATTTTTCTCCATTTTAGATTTATTTGAGGCAAAATTTTATTATTCTAGAATTATAATTTCATAGAATCTTTAAGAAAAATATACAGTTTTAAAATTAATTTTGATAACTTCATGACTATTCCTCTCATAATGTGTCAAAAACTAGAATAACTTGACAGAAAATTTAATTTATAGAAATTTGTTTCTAAAGTTAGGCTTAGCAGCACAAATTGTATGATCCAACAAGAAAATGCATCCCGTTAGTGCACCATCCGAAGACAAGAAGTTCGGTGAGTAAAGCGCTGATCCTGAAAGGGTTAAACCTTTCCCATATCCAAACTTCTAAATAGTAAATTATGCATTTCACACATCTAAGTAAATGAGTGAAATGCAACATATAGAAAAAATATTCAGAGGAAAAAAATTAACTTGCAATAGAAATCACAATCAATTCACATCAAGAAATAAAAAGAATAAAAAATTTTTTCCATCTTTAAGAGCAACTTTACATGAATGTGGATGATAAAAAAAAAATTTTTTTTTTAAGTAATTTTACACTCATTCAAAGAGCTTACTTTTAATCTATAATAAATCACTGCCAAAATTTAAAAAAAAAAAAATGTTACCTTCTTCTCGATGGTAATTGAAAGAATGGACTTGCTAAAGTATTTCCATCATCATCTAAGGAAAAATTTTGTTTTTAAAATCTATTAATCCACTTATCATTTCATACATGCAATATTTTTATGATAATATATATCACCACACTATAAAACACTATAAAAATTACAAAAAATTACAAAAAATTCCCTGAAACAAGAGCGCAACTAAAATAGTCACTCTTTCTCAGAAATATTTTTCTCTAATATTCCAGCAGATTATTAAAACTGTTTTCTTGACTTCAACATAAACATATTTAACTTTTTAGCTTTAATAAAAACATTTTTTTTTAATATGAACAATTTATTTAACACAGAATTTTAAATGGATATTTCAGATAATTATTTTATTCAAAAACCAAAATTTTGGATTTTTTAAGCATTTTAATAAATAATTTATTAAAGGTTACAATCAAAATTATGGATAGGTTATTTGATATGACAAAGATTCTTATAGTAAGGAAAATGCAATCATTGCTGGGAACGAACCAATTGTTTTCCCATTGCTGGATCATGCGTCAGTATCATGCTTTTCTTTCTTTTATCAGGAGTTCCTTCTAACCTTCTTCGGGAAACATACAAGGACCTGACTCGGAACAGAGAGCTTACTAAAGCTATGTTCACTAATTGTAGTAAGTAGACAGGATACAGACGAAGGGTATACAAAACCCTTTATTTTTCTCTATATACAATGACTTCCGTACTTCGGAATACAATGACCCTCCACTCGGGGTCTAACGTAAAAAGTATATCAAAATAAAACTAAACTCTAATTTAACTTTAGAATAATACACGTGGAAGATTGGCCTTATAATAACAGGAAGCGTATGTAGCACAGAGACTGTGAACACTACAATACGTTTAATTTATCAAGAGGATTAAAACCTCTGGCCTGGAAGGCAAATAGCAACTGCGTAACTTCTAAGGTAAGCGGCCTGCTTCGAACTCACTGCTTCCTCTCTCTCGCTTGGCAAAAAGGCCACACTTAAATACTTGGCGTTCGCCAGACAAACTTTGCATAAAAACCCTTCACGCTTATAATTCTGGCCGGAAGTAGAAAATAAGAAGTGATAGTAAAGATTTAAAATAAAATAAACGTTAGTAAAACTTAAGATCCTTACATACTTCCCGCCAGAGTTAATTAGTTTGAAACTGAGGTCTAAAACGACCTTGTTGAAAACTTTTAGCTCTAGAATCTAACGCGAGGCCAACCTTTTACAAACATAACTTAGCTAGAAACTAGAAAATTTAAAAGAAAGAAATTTGTTACAATAGCAGCTCCCAGGATATACAACAATCTTTTTTTTTTCATCTGTACTGCATCTAAACAGGAGCTTTATTCAATTCTGGTTCCTTCCAGAGATCTGGAAGGAAAACTAGTTTAATGAAATGTTACACAATGACATTGCAAATAACATATAGAATATACTTCTCTTAACATTCTTATTTCATTCATGACTATTTTAATTATCTCTCCCCGTGCTCTCTGACATGTGTTGTAAAAGAACACCAAACACGAATGTGTTTCTGTCTACGTGTGCCACACTTCCTCCTACAATCAAAACACTAACGTGTTAAAATTCAACATAACGAGACCTCTTAACACACCCTAATTTCAACTCTAAACCCTGAGGTACTATTCTAAAAGTGGCTAACTCTAAAGTGTAGCGTCAGAGAGCCTAACTACATCATTCAACCTTTAACACATATTCGCCATGATTTAATCTTTACAGTCACACGAATAACAAATTTTTAACATTACTTTCACTTTTACCATATCACGGTATTTCTTAACATTTAAAAAAACAGTTCACATGTATATAAGAACATATCAACATGCCGTTAATTTTACACATTTGAAAACATACATTAGTAGTACATTGTTAACTTCTATTCTTTTCAAAGCAAGTGCCAATTCTTTCTACATTGAAATAATACTACATTTCAAAAAGTCTTTCAGACTAAAACTTCTTTCTTGCTAGAATGTTTTAAAAATAAATTTTATACAATAACTTTTTACAATATTTAAGTCTTTACACAACGCTATTATACATCAACTTTAGTTTTACGCGCGAGTAATTGAAAAAACATAATAAGAAAATCGGTCACAACTCATTTCTCGCCCTTTTGGCGATAAAGGTAGACCTCGCATGAGGTAAAACTTCTTGAAATCTGCCACTTGCAGTAAGAATGAAAGATTAACTTAAGTTTGCAAAGTAACATAAAATTTTACTTATCTTTGTAATATTCGGACATCCTTTTCTGGGCCCAGTCTTTAAAGGTACTGCAGATAGTAGCTTGGTTTATCCTCCTTCTTGTACGGGCTCGCCCTTCAGTGCTTTCCTCTGGAAGCTTCCGTTTTTCACCAGTACGGCCACCCTTGAACACTTCCTTTTCTCCTCTGCTTGTGGTCTTGGCCGTTTGATGGCAGCTGGTCTTGGCGGAACCGGGAAACTTCTGTCGTGATCCTGCTTGGACCTCGTTGTTGGCCGTTCAAATTTTTCTTGTACTTTTTCCTCCGCCGCTGATGGCCCTTCCGCAGTTCGGCGACTTTTGCTGCGGAGAGTTCTGTCGGATGAGTAGATCTTCCGTTTTAAAGCCGGGTTATAGTTGCCGTCATTTCTCCTGGTCCTCTTCACATACGTCGTCCTTCTCCCTTCTTCATTCTGGGGGTGTTCGTGAACTCTGTTTTCTGGACGGTGGAACGGCTTCTTTTTTCTTGTTACCTTCAATTTTTCCGCGGGGCAATTTTCTTTTCACTTGCTTCTGTCTCTCATTGGCTTGCCCTTGTACTTGTCGTTTTCCCACCTCTGGAACTTGTACCTGCGGTGTCTGCCGTGCCGGATCCTGCAAAAGATCTGAAAAGATTTGCATTTTATTACGATCGAAGTAGGGCTTGATTTGATCAATGTTTGCGGAACAGGTTTCACCATTTCTGGCCTTTTAACACTACAACAGCGTGAGTTATTTTTTCTATAACATATGGTCCTTCAAATCGTGGAAAAAATTTGGCAGTTTTATCTTCTGGTGCTGAAGAAAGTGAATGCTTAATTTTTAAAACTTCATCCCCTACTTTATAAGTTACTCCCCGTCGTTTCAAATCATAATATAATTCTGTTTTCTTTGTGCTACTTCCGTATTCTTTTTTGCTTCTTTTATTAGTTTTTCTATATCACCCATTTTAAATTCTGGGGCTCTTTGTTGCACATAAAATAGTTTATCTAACGGTGTTATAATCTTTCTGCCTAGAAATAACTCAGCAGGAGTTTTGCCCGTTGTATCATGTTTTGCGGTCCTAAGGGCGAAAGCAAATTCATTGACATAGTTATCCCAGCTTTTATGAAAATTTTTAACATAACTACGGATAATTTTCACTATATTTCTGTTGACCCGTTCCGCTATATTTGATTGCGGCCGATACGGGACCATTTTTAAATGACGTATGCCCAGTTTTTGGCACATGTCTTCAAATATATTACTTACAAATTGAGGACCATTATCCGATATAACTTTTAGGGGCGCCCCGTATTTTAAAATATATTTATTTAAAATAGAATCGGTAACTAATTTCGCGGAGGCTCGTTTTAAGGGAACAATTTCGGTCCATTTACTAAAATGATCAACCATAACAAGGAGATAGCGACTTTTATTTAACTGACTTTTTGGGAAAGGGCCCAATAAATCGATGCCAATTATTTCATTTGGAAATTCGGATTTAATACTATTTAGAAACCCGGCCGGGCGGAAATTAATATAATTAACGGCTTGACATGTTGGGCAGGACTGGACATACGCCCTTGTTAACTTTTGCAGTTCAGGAAAGTAGACTGCCTCGCGTACGCGTTGGATAGTTTTTCGAATACCAGCATGAGAAGCTAAAGGGCTGTCATGGAGCTCCTTGCAGGATATTTAATCTAAGACTAGCTGGGATAACAGGTCGAAATTCGTTGTTGGAATTCGTAGTTTTTGTATAAAATAATAGACCATCTATTAGTTCGTAATGGGCCGCCCTATTTCTTATCGCCACAATATCTTGGTGGCTAAAATTTTCAGGATCCTTCAAATACTCATAAATACTTCCAAACTCAGGATCCTTACCCAGTTCGGTTATTACAGTTTCTCGGGAATTTATTGTACACGCTGTCAGCATTGCAACTTTACGGTATTACCCTTGTTCGTCTAATTTAATTCGTCTGTACGATATTTTCTATTTTCCTTTCCGGGGGTATTACTTATTTTCCTTTCCGGGGGGCTTGATTACCAGATTATATTCTTGCAGCTTGAGTGCCCATCTTATTAACCTTGGGGATAAATTTTTCCCTGAGTACAATCTAGTTACCGCCGCATGATCAGAGTATACTGTTATCGGCGCCTTTCCAAAATAGACTCGGAACTTTTGCACTGCTAACAGAACTGCAAGTGCCTCTCTCTCGGTCGCGGAATAGTTTCTTTGTGTTTGATTTAAAGTTCGGCTAAAAAATGCCACGGGCTGCTGATTTTGCGAAAGTACCGCTCCTACCGCATAATCCGAAGCATCCGCTGAAATTTCTAAATTTTCATCCTTTTCAGGAAATTTCAACACAGGGGCTTGCGTTAATGCTTGTTTTAATTTTTCGAAAGCACTATTGGCTTCGGCCGTCCACGAGAATCTTGCCTTTTTCCTTTTTAATTTTAACAATGGCTCAGCGATAGCCGCAAAATCTTTTATAAAGGACCTATAATATGAACAAAGTCCTAGAAAAGAAGAGAGCTTCTTTGCCGTGTTTGGAGTCGGATACTTTTGTACAGCGATTATTTTTGATTCATCTGTCTCGATCCCTTTTTGCGATATTTTGTAACCTAAATATTTTAATTCAGGGGCTGCAAATTTGCACTTTTCGACATTAACTTTTAGACCGGCCTCATTTAATAAAGAAAACACCTGTCTTAAATCCTGTACATGTTGGTCGAGATTATCACTAGTAATAATGATATCGTCTAAATAGATAAATGTGGACTTTCCAAGAACAGGTCTTAACACAA